AATAAAATTGATTTCGTTCTTTATATGGAAATTGAATAATATCTTGTGAAAAAGATAATGATTGAAATTTAAACATATATTCTTGTAAATGATTTAAATATTCTTGATTATTATCAATTAAAATAGATAAAAGATGAAAAAAAATTGAAATGAGAATAATTATTTAATTGAATTATATTTGATGTTTGTTTAGCTAATGATTGAAATTGTATTTCACAAACATCAATTAATATATCAATTTCTATTTCTGATGTTGTATCAAATCCAATAGCATCACATAATTGACTTATGAAGAAGATGATCAGAAATAAAATTCTTGAATAAGTTGAAGAGAATAAACTCTCCTGTATTTATCTCGTTTGATATTCTGTTAAAATTCTAAAATATTTCAATGAAAATTTGAATAAATAATAAATTGATTTGAAAAGTAAAAATAAATATATGTAATTAAAATAAACATACTTTTCAAAGCTTTTTTCAAAGGTGTTTCATTCTGATCTTGTTCAACTAAAGCTTGTTCTCTTGAAAAAATGACAGTTAAATGTGTTTCAGATCCAAGAATCCAAATAGGACTTTTAGGATTTTTTAAAAACCATCCAACTTCCATTAAACGATAAATTTCAAGTGATGATAAAAATCCAAAAGAAGCTTGTTGACGTATTCCATATAATTTCAATCCTGAAATATCTTTTTCACCATCAAAACAATGTGGTGTAGCAAAACCAGTTATTAATAAATTAGTTAAACATTGACTTCCATGTCCATATGCAATATCAATTAATGGTAATGTTGTTTCATCATCAATTTCTTTTTTTAATAAATCAATTGTTTTTGTCATTAAACATGAATAAAGAAAAAGTAAAACACCATAAGTGTTTTTCCACATTTGAAGACGTGAAAAAATTTGTTGTTTTAAATCAATATTTGATTGACATAAATAAAATTGAATTTTTTCATGAAATTGTTTTATTGTTAAACTTTTTTTTTCTTTTTCATTATTGAAATAAGCTAAGTAAATTTTTTTATTTGATGATGATAATAAATGAAGAATTGAAACAAGAACATTTAAAAAATGTAAATTAATTTCATCATTTGATGATTGACGCCAATTTGTTTGACAACGTCGACAAAAAATTAATTCATTTAATAAATGTGCTTGAACTGTTGTTAATAAAGAACAAGGACCACCTTCATATTTTATTAATGCTGATCGTTCATCATTTGAAAATTCAAATGGTTGTGATCAACGTTCAAATATTGATTCTTCTATTTCATATCCCCAAACAATTTTTATTAATTCATTTGAAAATTTTATCATTTCATTTGATGATGCATTTTCACTTGTTCCAATTCTAAAAAAATATATAAAATTTTATTTTCAATTATTTCACTGCTTTTGTCTTTTTTCTTTTTATTACATATTCTTCTCTTTCCTTTTTTTTTCTTTCTCAGTGTTACGTCTTCAACAGGTTTATTCAACTATCATTCATCATTTATTATTATTCATTATTTAACGAAATTTTTTTTAGGTTTTTAATTTATTTTTTCAAATCGAACAACTTCAGAATATGGCAACTGTTAAAAATTATTTCATTTTATTTTATAGTTGTCACTCAATTACACTTTATTTTACACAATTAGAAATATAACAGATGCCTTTTTTTCTCTCAATAAACAATTTCAATTAAAATAAATTCTTGTCGAAATAATTAATTATACAAATCATTGAATAAATATCAGAATTTTGTTTTATTATATATTCAATTCATTTAAGAGAAGACAATCCATAAGAAAATCGAACGTGACCATACTCTCGAAAATGTTGATCACTATATTTTATGATGAGAAATGAAAGAACAAGCTGAGAAACATACAAATCGAAAATTTTACTTCATTCAAACATATCTATCGAAAAAGCAACACTTAATAACGAAACAAAATAAGTTGGATAACCAAGCTGTTGAGTCATAACAAACATATCTTTCAAACATTGTTGCCAATATTGTAGACTTTCTCTCATTGATTGAAAATGTCGATGAATCTTATCTTTAACTAAAAGAAATTTCATTTGGCCATCATCAGTACACTGTCTTGCACTTAAAATTATTCTTTTACTAAATGCAACATTTAATAGAAGAGAAAGTTTGTTTTAAGTTGGTTAAATATTCTAAGAAAAAAATCTAACTAGAATCAGATAACAAAAGCCGTATTTTACAGTATTCTTTCCATCCTAGTTTAAGTAAGCATTTCCTCATCTTTTTCCTGATCAAGTTGGTTCTTTCAATGAGAAATGCTTACTTAAACTAGAATCAGATAACAAAAGCCGTATTTTACAGTATTCTTTCCAT